GGAAACTTTTTTTTTTTTTTTTTTAATTACGGAATCATCATTTAAGGGGCTCCTTAGTTTCTCTTGTTTGGTTTTCCACCCCAGACGGGTGGCTTTCTAGCTTCAGTTTGGACAGTAGTTTACAACTTTGTGAGCCAGTAGTTTACCGCTACCTTGTGAGGTAGCCTGTCCTCTCATCCCACTGTTGTACCTATCAATTCTTCCTTACAGAAACACCAAAAGAACATTATACAACGAAAGCTCTTCCACAAAGGAACAGCTGCCTCAGTGGAAAAGAAGCAATGATCTCCAGGTGGTGTAAACTCTCCTCTCCCTGAGCTGCCATCATTTTCTTTCTGCCCCTCTGATATCCTGCACCAGGGTCAGACATGGTTAGAGTCACCATCTCGGAGTAACTGGGTACCTACATTCTCCAATGTTGACTCCTCTGCCCCAATTCCTCCCCTAGGATGGGTCCCCAAGTAGTGACGTGTTGAATACTCCTGCCTCACTTCAATGTTTTATATTTTTCTTATATGGTTGGTACTAGGCACCTTGAAATTGTCATGAAAAGCATGATGATCAAATTACTCACCAAGTGATCTGCCATGCTGCATGATAATGCTTGAGTTCAGTGAGCCTGGGAGAGAGTAGGCTGAAGGGGAAAATGGCCGTTGATAGTAACTCATCGGGCTCACAGCACCTCCCGAGTTTCCATTCACTGTTATCTGGCTCTGAGAAAAGCACAGCAACATCAGGTTAAAGTGCACAGTCGCCCGTAAACGTCCTTCCTTCAAGTGAATAAAAGACTTCCCACCACATGAGACAATCAGCTTCCAAGTTTTCATTTATTTTGAAAACTGGTGTCAGGGGGACAGAGTACTTTTTTTTGGTGACTTTTCTTTCTTCCTTTATTTTTGGAAATCACTCTTACACATCAGAGGGCACACAAGGAGATTAGGAAGAATGGAAGCAGTGGACCAGCGGGCATGCCCCTCCGCCAACATAAATGCCAAGTGCTATCAGTAGGAGTCAGTAACGAACAAATAGGCAGGGCAAAATCCCTCTTGCAATCACAACCTAAATAGAACACATTGTCTGCATGCGGACTTTGGAACGAATGTTCTTGGACATGAGAAAAGGGGATGGTTCTCCGTCTCAGCTGGGGTATCCTTTAGTGAATGAGTGTTTCCAGTGCAAGATGCCCGATGTGAGAAATGCACGTGTTTGGGTTTGCAGATCATGAAGCAACCTCTTCTATAAAAACCAAATACCTGGTAAAGCATCAGAAAGACATTAGTTTCTCCCTGCTTTAACCTCATTTATCACTTTATGGCCCTCTGTTTGGTTTCTTAATCATTCTTTATTTTGTGCATTATATCTGAATATTTTATCTCTCTACTGGTATCTCAAGATTTGTGCTAGAGGTGCTAATATATGTGCTTCTTTTACTTTTTTATTGTGTGCAACCTGTGTTAATGGCATAATAGATTTTCAATGGATACATATTCTAACTGAACAGAATCAGCTTAGTCCACGGAGATTGCGCGGACGGAGATTGCGCTTGAGTCTAGGGAGCATGCCTAACTATACGCTGAGAGTTATGGAGATTACTTAATGCATGCAAAGGACAAAAAAATCATCAGTCAGAACATTTAGTCAAAATCACCTTACAGCTAAATATGCACGAACACACATATGAACATAGATAAAAAAGCAGAATTTGTGAATTTTTCTATTTATTTTAAAACTAGATAAAAAAACTTTTATTCTACAGATTTGAAACACAGATGGACAAATACATATTTCTGATTTCAATTTAAAGCAGATCTATTTTTAAGTAATCTAGAATAAGTCTAATTTCATTACTTCATAGTCATACCATGTTAAGTCCTAAAATTTCATTACAAAGATGGTGTGTAGGGACCAACAGTTGGCGTAATGGCTATGTTGCTGGACTTCCATGTAGTCGACTGTGGTTCAAGTCCCGAACCCGGTGGCTTAAACTCACACTGGACGTGTGTGCATGCAATCTCAAGATCCTGAGAGGAGAATGGAGGGGAAAGGATTGCAGCGTGGCCATCCCCCCTGGGGGGGTGATTTCTTGCTATCTGTCTCTCTGTTGAGCACACGTGCCCTAGAGCAAAAACCTTTCAAAAGATTGTGTGTATTGATTGAATACTTCTCAAAACTGTGAGAAAATTCACTGCTGTATAGTAACCAACCATATTGAAGATCTTCTCTCTGAAGAAGGCCCAGCTGTGGTAGCACGTGCTGGTTTGTGCTGCTGAGCATGCTGAGACCCCATGGGTTCAATTCTGGGCTCATGCTAAAAAGTCAGGCAAAGAAGTATGGGAGTATTGGGTTGTCGGAAAAGGCATGATGCATTATACGTCATGACTTTTCTGACAACCCAATATTCGCCTGTGGTCCCAGCTACTCAGGGGGCAAGGGAGTTGGGATACAGTGCTACTCTGTCTATAAAAGAAGAAAAGAACTGAACATTCAAATAAGTGTGAGGCATAAGCTGTCCAAATGTTTCAGAGCCGTTATGCACCACTGATGGCTAATGTGAGAATCTTTTTGCCTCCTTAGCCAAATTAAGTTTGGTGCACCTTCAGAAATATGATCTTAATGCTATTAAATCCTGCAGGTTACTATGTGACCAAACTTACGAAATGTGCTAGTCCAATGGTCTCAATAATATAGATTAGTGGTTAAAAAAAATAAGCAGTAAAAACCAGTTTAATATTTCATCATGTTAATTCAGTTAGGAGTTTGCTAATAAAATAATACCATTAGAGGTATAATGGTTACATCGTTGGACTCCCACATTGATCACAGTTCGAGTCCTGGACTTGGTGGCTTACAACTCACAGCGTGTGTGCATGTGTGCTGAAAATCCTGAGAGGAGAATGGAAGAAAAGGAATTGCGGCATGGCCCTCCCTCCTGAGGGGTGATTTCTTGCTTTCTGTCTGTCTCTCGGGTGAGCACATACATTCTATAGCAAAAACAAACAAACAAACAAACAAAAAACAAACAAAAAACAAAAAATTCTCAAAAAAATATTGTTAGAATTTTAGAAAATACATATATATATATATATTTATATATATATATATTTATATTTTTTTGCCAGAGGGCACATACTCTCCTCCAAGAGAGACATAGAGACAGAAGAGAAAGAGGGAGAAGGAGGAAGCACCCCCTTCATGCAGTCTTTTCTCCATCGTTTGGGGATTTAGAGCATGGTGTGTTTCTCAAGCCATTGTAGACCTGCAGTCAGCCACGTGGGATTTGGCTCCTTTAACCACTGGGCCCTGGGCCAGTCCATTTCTTAAAGTTCTTGAGAGTCAAGAACCATCTAAAACACAGCAGGACACAGGAAGACCCGCCCTGGATGAGGTCCTGGTCCTGGTCACCTGTGGCAAGGGGAGGGGCTCTCCCTGGGGGCTACCCTGGAAAACGATCCTCCTTGTGTCACCAGTCTCTGAATGAAACACTCCAAATGCCAACTTTCCTATCCTACCACTGGATAAACACTAAACCTCCTCCCCGCTAGAAAAGAATCCCCTTATTTTTTTTGTCATTTCAGTGTCTTAAAAAACATACAGCTTATTATAACATTTCTCCATGTATGAAATTTATATTTATGTCTTTTATAGAACATAAAAACTATGTAGCACAAATAAAATGCCCATGACAGTGTTTCTTTGGAACTTCATCATAGTATCTATTTTTTTAATTCCTTTTTTTTTTTTTTTTTTGCTTAAAGCTATGTGCCTTTTAAATAAAAGCTATCACCTACCTATATATTATATGCAGTTGAGAATCTGTTCCATAAAATATGGAAGTATTTTAGCTATTCCTAAGTCATATATTAGGGGCTGTTTTTCACACAGACATAGTAAAATGACATGTATGGAAATATATTGCTATAAATGGAAAACAAATTATTGATATATAAGATAAAATTGTACTCATAAATTTCTACACTGGAATGGCTCAGGATAAACCATTCCAAAAATGTCCCAGGGCTCAATTTCTGTAATGTAGATAAAGATTAGTTACATCAGTTACTTCTCCATCACAGATGAGTTCAAATGGTGTCGTTATTATTGAAAGAGAAACAAGAATTAGCATCATGCTGTCAGTAATCATTACTGCGAGAGACCAAAACATATAAACTACTCACACAGAACACACTAATATATGTCTATCAGGAAAACTGCTATCTACCAAGTAGTAATACTGGATCAACATTTCTGAAAATTGAAACATCTCCTCTATGAATATAATCATCATAGCATTCCAATAAATGCTATAAATGCTGATGTAACTTCTTAGAAGGCAAATCACGGTATAACGCAGGAGCGAGAGCCACAAAGTAAACGATTTCAGAGTAACCATACATGACTCTAAAATGAATGAAGAGAGTGTCAGTGAATAGTTCAGTCTTAGACTGGTTTGTGAGAATGACTACCACGGATTTCTCTGACAGACATGTAGGATCGGATTCCTAATCAACTACGCAAACAAAATCACACAGCTGTAACGTGAGATGGTGGCTGAGAAGCACTCCTTTATTTGAAAAAAGATGGAGGCAAAGGAAGGACGAGTAATCACAGGAGTGGCGGTAGGGGCGGTTAAGGTGGTGAACTGGGTCATAGCTGACCTCCAACCCCAGACTGGGGAAGGTGTCTCAGCCTAGCCAGTGCTGTCCGTGACTGGCCTGTAGTTCAGCTGGAATGGCTGGGAGGACTTGCTCTCAGAGCAGGAGGAGTTGGTAGTGGGAAAGCAAAGCCCGTGTAGTAGCTGTGGACAAGGTTTTCAGGAGCTAGGAGATAGTGTCTACACAAGCCATGTGGCAGGCTCTAGGGTGCATGCATGTGTGAAGACCCCAGGGATGTTGGGCCAGACCCACTGCCTGGTGACAAAGCGATTCAGTGAAATGGTACCATAGAAGAAGAGCACGGAGAAGAGGCTTCTGGTAAAGTTTGGCTGTGTGTCAGTGAAGCATTTACCTCCAACGCATTGGCAGTTAAATTCTGATTTCCAAGCTGAGTTTGAGAAAACAATAATAAAAAGAAATATAAATGAGCCAATGAATAAAAACATCTTTTTGCAATACGGCAGAGAAGACAAAGCATCATTTTTTTTTTTTTTTTGCAAGCGCTTTAAGGAAATACATTCAGACTAAATGCCAACCACACAGCATAGAAAAGGCATGAAACCATGAAGAAAACCAATCTAGTCAGTGTTTTTCTTTTTTTGGAAACAAGACCAGTTTTCGCACAGCACTGCAATGTAATTTTGGGATGGGACTTGAGACTGTTGGCATAAAGAAATCTTTTCTTAAAAGATTTTACTCGTGACAGCGAAATGGTGTCAGATTGTCCATTTGTCAGCCAAATTCATTTGTCCTTCACTAGCGAAATCTTACAATATTCTTCTCCCTACTATTCTCCCCCCTGCCAATGTCCCCAACATATAAATCAGTTTGCCTCATATGTTTTTTTTTAACTTATGGATCTAAATATTGATCAAACTAAAACAACTAAGTGGAAGGGTGTTTTGTTTCCTTTCCATTAATGGAATCCGTTCTTTTGTTTCACTACAAAATACTAAAAGAATTAAACTTTAAATCCAGCAGTGCAAATAGAAGTACCTATGTGTGAAAATGAGGTGAAAACAAAAACCAGCCACTGATAACACTTAGAACATATCCTAGGAGGTTAGAACTACTACTGTCATTACATTTTAGGTAAAGGAGAAAGAAACTGAACAAGAAAAAAGGCTTAACATGGCAAAGGGACTGTCTGTAGAAGGAAGAGAGGAGGCGGCCCATTAAATGTTTTTATACCCACCTGCGTTAACCTTGATGATGCGGACCACACATGTCAAATACAAGGATCAACTCAATGTAAGTGAAGCAAGCTCTGAAATAATTTCTCTTTCTTATCCTCCCCACCTTGCAAAATAGAGGTGTGTGTGGGTGTATGTGTTTTTGGGGTAGTGCCAGTTGCAAGATAAATGGCAGAAATATTCTGGGATATTTAGTACAAAGATGAGGAACAAATTAAAGAGAACTGCACAAATATTGCCTAGTAGACTGAAGCATACTATTTGGTCAGCCATAATTTTCATAACAGCTGATGTCATGCAGGCTGTTGACCTCATAAAACTCATAATTATTTTGCTCAGATTTTTATTTTAATACTTTAAAAAAATCATCATGTGAAAAAAATCGATGACTCCCTGGGTCATAGATTTCTTAGAAATCTGATGAAGCTATTGGTACATCTCTTAGGAAAAATGCATAAATTCCTATGTACATAAAGTCCTGCATAAACTTTAGGGGTTCACGGACATTGTGAAACACACTTGTAATCTAACAGCTGAAGAAACTCCAACTCAATAAAAAACAGGTATCTTTATTCTATTTCCATTTAATAAGCTTTTTAGTTGTTGTTTAAGCACATTTAAAATGTGATACTTTTTTACTGATTATAGTTGTGAAATCTTTAGAATGAACTGATAAAAATCTTAGCTACCTAGGATACTTAACTCAAAATGTTTTACAGGAATGTATCTTTTTTATTAGTAAATGTTTATGATAATTACAGATTTTATAGGAGGTAAAACTATAATGTTATGAAACTACAATAATTATGAAGTAATTATTAAAGTTTTTCTACAAGTCTAAATGGGATTCAATATGAAGCAGTCTTTGGAGAGTATCAATGAAATTTCTCATATTAATACAATTTCACTAAGATAGGTTCCATGTAAGAGTAAATCTATTTTTAATTTTGCTTGTGCTAAGTGAAAATTCTGCTAAATAATACAAATCATAAAAAAAGCACTTGAATCTTCTCTTTAAATGATATTTTTCCCCCTTACAATTAAAAGGAAATACCTAATGGCTTTAGCCCTTATGAGACCAACTCGTCAATATCTTTTGACTCGAAACAAGTAAAAAATGAAAGCATATTCTTTTGCAAATCACCATTGACATGGGTAATATCATTATTATTTGTTGGTATAACATTGTGTCTGGGAATGGTCTTTATCTGTTCATTTGTTCTTCCAAAGAAATTGTCCATAGAGAACAGAGCTACTTCACTTTTTAAATTTCTTTCACCACCTCCTGACAGGCTTGCACTTTCATCTTTTAGTGTGTGTGTGCATGTGTATGTGTGCACACACATGCTTGCACAAACACAGCAGATGACATACCTCTATTTTTTTTGGTTGTTGTTGTTGTTGTAAAAGCGATTTCTGCTAGAGGGCATGTATGCTTGCCAGACAGAAAGTGAGAAATCACTCCCAAGGGGGATGGCCACACCACACGGATATTTTTTGTATTGATTTTTTTTTGAGAGGTTTTTTGCTATAGGGAGCGTGTGCTCGCCAGACAGAGAGAGAGAGTGAGAGAGAGAGAAAGAGAGACAGAGAGACAGAAAGTGAGAAATCACCCCCCAGGGAGGATGGCCACACCATAGTCCCTTCTCCTCCATTCTCCTCTTGGGATTTTGGGCATGCACACATATGTGTCCAGTGAGAGTTTTAAGTCACTGAGTCTGGGGGCTCGAACTGCAGTCAACTATGTCGGAGTCCAGCAATGTAACCATTACACCATCTGCTGGTCCCAAGATGAAATACCTCTTAATGAGTCACATCATACTTAAATTGGGGTACATAAAACTCAAAATTCAACAGTCTATTGGTCACCCAGAGAAAGCTTTGAGGAATCTTGCTATGAAGCTATAAATTGCTCTTAGATTATGTGGAATGGTTCTACAAGATCCTGATGTCTACTTTAATGAAATGCTTTCTAGACACAGGAGGAGAGAGAACCACATTATCTACCCATTTTCCCCCAAGGAAAAGTGAAAAGAGTAGCAGGAAAAGTGCGAAAAGGGAAGAAGGAAGTGTTGTCTCGATCTGGACTATGTTGACACGGGAAAAACTAATTTTAAACAAGAACTCTAATCCCCACCCCACACCCCCCCCACACACATACACACTGCATTTAGTAGCAGAAAAATGACTGCATAAAAGTCATCTTAATTGTTTTGTGTCTCCTTCTTTTCAAGACCATGAAAAACTAAAGGTGTCTGAATGTGGATCAAGGATTTTGCGAGTGTAAGTTGCTGGTTACTTTCTCTGGCTGTTGAGCTATAACGGAGAGAGAAGCTAGGAAAACACTGCTTGGCTGCTTGGTCTTCTCCAAAGGAAATGACAGTGGTCAGACCACAGCGTACTTAATATACTAAGGGAAAGCACCTGCGTATTCCAAAGAGCCTTGCGTTTCTTGGCCCAGATGAATTCAATTCAACTCAGACTCTAAGGAGAGTCTGTGGGTGAATGGGATCACTAAATCAAAGCTGGAATTCTCTGAGGAATTAAGGAGCAAGGGGACTCAAAGAAGGGTGAGCATCAGCAATAGGAAAGGAATATTGGGCTGGATGTAGTCATTGCTCAATCAAGGGCTTAGCATGGGCCAGGAGTTCATCCAAAAGTGTGCAAATCAGGCCAGGTGTTAGATAACAGGGAATGATGGAAACCATGGCAGAGTAGAGAAGGCACACTCACCCTGAAGGTCAAGTCAATTTGTTAATATCCTTTTTTTAAGTTAATTTTTGTTTTTTTTTTAGTTTTATGATAGGGTGACGACACTTGCTGGAGAGAGACAGAGAGAGAGAGAGAGAGAGAGAGAGAAAGAGAGAATACACTCCACACACATACACACTGCATTTAGTAGCAGAAAAATGACTGCATAAAAGTCATCTTAATTGTTTTGTGTCTCCTTCTTTTCAAGACCATGAAAAACTAAAGGTGTCTGAATGTGGATCAAGGATTTTGCGAGTGTAAGTTGCTGGTTACTTTCTCTGGCTGTTGAGCTATAACGGAGAGAGAAGCTAGGAAAACACTGCTTGGCTGCTTGGTCTTCTCCAAAGGAAATGACAGTGGTCAGACCACAGCGTACTTAATATACTAAGGGAAAGCACCTGCGTATTCCAAAGAGCCTTGCGTTTCTTGGCCCAGATGAATTCAATTCAACTCAGACTCTAAGGAGAGTCTGTGGGTGAATGGGATCACTAAATCAAAGCTGGAATTCTCTGAGGAATTAAGGAGCAAGGGGACTCAAAGAAGGGTGAGCATCAGCAATAGGAAAGGAATATTGGGCTGGATGTAGTCATTGCTCAATCAAGGGCTTAGCATGGGCCAGGAGTTCATCCAAAAGTGTGCAAATCAGGCCAGGTGTTAGATAACAGGGAATGATGGAAACCATGGCAGAGTAGAGAAGGCACACTCACCCTGAAGGTCAAGTCAATTTGTTAATATCCTTTTTTTAAGTTAATTTTTGTTTTTTTTTTAGTTTTATGATAGGGTGACGACACTTGCTGGAGAGAGACAGAGAGAGAGAGAGAGAGAGAGAGAGAAAGAGAGAATACACTGAGAAATCACCCCCAGGGGCATGGCCATGCCTCAGTCCTTTGTCCCTTCTCCTCTCAGGATTTTGTGCATGAATACACACGCACTTGGCTTGTTTTTTAATCTTCTGGGTCTGGGACTCAAATCATGCAATTGGCCATGTGGGATCCGGCTGTCTTAACCTCTGCATCACCTGCTGGCTCTTATTCATATGCTTTGACTTGAAACAGGTCAAAAGCTACAACTATTCTCTTTAAAATCACCATTATCATGGCTATGATCATTAGTTTGAGCATACACTAATGAAACATTAAAATAAAACTAACTCAGTGATAGCCGCAACAAATTTATAGTCCTAAGCCTCAGACCATCAGATTGGTGGCTGTGGATACGGAAGCTGGAGGTGAGAAAAGGGGAGCTGGAATGTGCCTTGTTCTGAAGCCAAGAAAGGACAGAAGAGTGCAGAGTCCGACAGGCAGAGGGAGCGAAGCCCTTACCTGAGCACATTTAATGAAGTAACAAAAACTCAGTAATCTAGGTGATACTATTTTAATGCAATCTTTAAAAAAATCAAAATCAGGGACCAGCAGATGGCATAATGTTTACATCACTGGACTCCTACATAGTCATCTGAGGCTCGAGTCCTGGACCCTAAGTCTTAAAACTCATGCTAGGGATTAGTAGTTGGTGTAATGACTATGTTGCTGGACTCTCATGTAGTCGACCGTGTTCGAGTCCTGGATCCGGTGGCTTAAACTCAAGCCGGGCGCATGTGTGTGCGTGCCCAAGATCCTGAGAGGAGAATGGAGGAAAAGGGATTGCGGCGTGGCCATCCCCCCCGTGGGGTGATTTCTCGCTTTCTGTCTCTCTGTCTCTTTCTGTCTTTTTGGCGAGTGCACGCACCCTATATAGCAAAAACCTCTCCAAAACAAAACAAAACAAAACAAACTCACGATGGGTATGTGTGAGTGCATGTCCAAAATCCTGAGAGGAGAATGGAGTAGAAAGGATTACAGTGTGGCCATCCCCTTTGGGGTGGGTGATTTCTTGTTTTCTGTCTCTCTGGTGATCATAGGAGCCCTACAGCAAAAGTGTCTCAAAAAAAAAAATCAATACAAAAAATATCCGTACTGGACAAGATACCACAAATTTAAATAAAGACCAGTACCGTGCAGAGCTCTTTTGGAGACTGAGAAAATAAGAATACGTTCTGTCTGAGATTGTTAATGGAAGCAAACTCATCAAAAATATTTTCAAAATCTCCTTTGGATGCTGATATCATTTTAAAACAATTTGACAATACCAATTGACCAAAGATGATCTTAAATAATTTCTAATTAATTTAAGATGAAATAAATGCAATTTGATGATACCAGTTTACCAGTAATGATCTTAAATAATTTCTAATTAAGATGAAGGAAATGCATAATAAATTTTGTTTTGGTATAAATAAAAATTTTAAAGTTAAAATAATGGGTGGGTTTTATTTATTTATTTATTTATTATTTTTTTGTCATAGGGCATGTACACTCACTAGAGAGAGAGAGAGACATTAAAGAGGAAAGTGAGAAATCCCCCTCCCCAGGGGGGACAGCCAAGCTACAGTCCCTTCTGCCCCACTTCTCTTCCTGGGATTTTGGGCATGTGCACACATGAGCCTGGCTTGATTTTCAAGTCGCCAGGTCTGAAACTCAAGCTGGGGTTGGCCAAATGGGAGTCCAGCACCTTAAGCACTATACCGCCTGCTGTCCCCAATGTGAGTTTTAATAAGCCTACATTTCAGCTTTTCAATATACTTTTAAATGACTTAAATGTCCTCGAAAATAAAAACCACATTAAAATATAGTAACACATATATATAGGGAGAAATATTTTCTACTTTGCTTTAGGCTCTGATTAACTTGACATGACATGGAACTATGGTCTAGGATTTATCTGTATCTATCTATCTGTCTGTCTATTATCTATTTATATCTATTATCTATCTGTTTTATCTATTTATATCTATCATCTATCTTCTATCTATCTATCTATCTATCTATCTATCTATCTATCTATTTTATTTGCTGGAGCGTGTGTGCACGAGGCAGGGGAGGCAGGGAGAGGGGGAGAAAGGGAGAGAGCATGCCTCTGATCCCCCTGCAGACCCTTCTCCTCCATCTCCAGCTGGTCGGGATGTGAGGCACACACACTTGCCTAAGTTGTTTCTCAAGCCTCTGGGACTAGGATTAGAACTGTTGTTGGCCATGTGGAATCCAGTTCCCCTTCATCACGAGGCTATGGGGCCAGTCTAACATCTCACACTTTCATAACTTTTTTTTTTCAGCTTTTAATTTTTTATGTATTTGTTTCATATGAAAGAGGAGGGAGGAAGGACGGGATACCCTGAACAGAGTGTTGCCATGCCACAATCCTTCCCCAAGCTAGCCAGGATGCTGGGTATGATCTGATTGATCTAGGATTCGAACTGGGATCTCCCATATGGCTCCAGCATTATGCAGCGATACCCCACTGCTTGAGCCACCTTGGCTGGACCTCCCTCTTTAACATCTTTTATCACTGATATATATGGCCTCAATTCTCAAAAAACATACAGGATATGTATTAAATAGCAATGAAGGGATTTGACTTTTTTTTTTTTTTTCTGTTTTTCAGTAGAGTTCATAGTAATTTATTTGGGAAAAAAAATCTAGGAGGAAATTATATAAAAACAAAACTTCACCTTCCACCTCATGGTCTTCTGCAATAAGCTGCCTCCTCTCTCAGAGCCTGTCCAGGGCTGTAGAGGGGAAGGGCCCTGCGGCTGTGGCTGGCTGCGGCTGACTACTCAGGACAGAGAATCACTGGACCAGACTGGGCCAAGTGGTCCCTGCCACTTCCTGGGAATTAGAATTCTGCATGACACTGAAAACCCTAGTCAGAGAGTTGTGGGGTTTCCAAATGCAAAGAACTGGAGAATGTCATAGAAGTACACAGGCAACTTGAAGTGACGACAGAGAAGAAACTAGGAGGGGAGGAGATAAAGGACTAGGTGACACCAAGACTGAGAAAGAGAGGGTGGCTGCTGGGCGCTCCCCAGATCCCCAGGCCAGGCTGTACTGTTTGCTCTTCCAGGATCAGGGACTGCTCTATGGCCTCGTAATAAATCCCTTTAATCAGAGTTCTTAACAGCCACATGGTCTTCACCCAAGACCAGGGTGATAGGTGACCTAAAACAGTCACACATGGGTAGGCACATGGATGTAATGTGGTATCTGATTCAGGGGGTAAATATTTCTTCTGTCGTCGTGGTATTCAGAATGGGAATGTACATTCACACCTGGTGTGGCTGGCCCTGTGGCCTAGTGCTTAAGGAAGCCAGATCACACATGACCAACTGTGTGTTTCAAATCCCTGACCCAGCAGCTTGAAAAATACATGGGGCATGCATGCATATGTGCCCCGAATCCTGATGAGACAGAAATGGAGGAGAAGGGATTGGGGTATGACCATGCCCCATGGGGCAGGTGCAGTCTTCCTCTACCTTTTGCTCTGTCTCTCTCTGGTGAGCACACATATTCTCTGGTAAATAAAGAAAGATAAAATGAAAAATCAAGCTGGGTGCATGTATGCTTGTGCCCAAAATCCCGAAAGGAGGATGGAGGACAAGGGATTGCAACCATCCCCCCGGGGGGGTGATTTCTCACTTTCCCTCTCACTGTCTCTGGCAAGCTGGCAAGCACAGGCATCCTATGGCAAAACCCTAAAAAAAAAAAAAAAAAGAAGGAAAGAAATACTGAACTTGAAAATGGTTGGTCCCATGATCTAGTGGTAAAGGGAGTTGAATCCCATCCGGCTGACTGTAACTTGAATCCTGGCCCCAATTGCTTCAAAAACCACCAGGCATATGCGTGTGTGTGTGTATGCGTGTGTGTGTATGCGTCTGTGTGTGTGTGTGTGTGTGTGTGTGTCTTCCTCAAATCCTGGCAGGATAGAGAAATGCAGGAGAAGGGATTGCAGGGTGACCATGTCCCACTGGGGTGTGCTTTCCCTCTGTCTTGGTAAGAATATGCCCTTTGGAAATTAAAAAAAAAAAAAAATTTTTTAAAAGCTAAAAGTGCTTTAAGTACTGGAGTCATTTGCAGCGCCTTCATCAGTAACTCTTCCATCAGTGACTTCTAATAAATATCTAGAAGGAAGAAGCTTTTAGAATGTGATTTCTGGATAAACTATATATTTATATCTCTACCTGTTTACCTATCTACCTATATTGCAATTAAATTTTATTTAGAAATTTGCTGATGAACTCAGTAGGGTTTTAAATTAGAAATAGTTTCTTTCTCCTTTTCCTTCCTGCTTGCAAACAAAGCACTCAGTTATAAAAGAAGCCCAAACCCAAAGAGTTAGGATCTCTACAATACACATGTAAAAAGAGACTGAAGCTACAATGTACCACCCGGCAGTCTGAGGACTGAGAGGCCGCAGCAACTGCAGATTTGGGTCTCTCTTGTTGAAGAGGTATCTTTGTAGTCTCTGGAGAAAGCTCAGGTGGCTGTTTGAGGCCTTCAGGATCATGTCCTGAAAGGGGAGCTATCTGAATGGAGAGAGATGCTGTGTGTTTCTCAGGCACTGGGTTAGGAGGGGGTGAGCAAGGCCTTTTGAGAAACGATGGTACCTCGATAGGTTTGAAAAGCCGTGGAGTGTTAAAGGGGATGCTACTGCCTAGATCCTGGTTATGGGTTAGTTTCAAGGTGGAAATTCTCCGAGACTGAGAATCCTGCATGTAGTCCTCTTGTAGAACTGGAGTATTGAGGTCAGCCAATGGTGAGGCACTTGTGCTGGGAACTGCTGGTACTGGGTTAGTGATTTTATGTGTATACGACACGGTTGTGTTAGATTCTTCGGAATATATGATTGTTTGATTGGGATCTTCGTTAGAATACATAGTTCCCTGATCTGATTTTTTATTAGTAACGTACTCTGCACAGGAAGAAATTTGTGTGTTAGTTCGTAATTGGTCTAAAGTGTCACTCTTTGTGTGATCGGTTATCAAGGAACTACAAAAGCTCTCTTTTTCGGCTGGTGGAAGGGGTGCCTGGATTATCAAAAGCATCAGGAGGAAGGAATAATATTGAAAGAAAAACAGAGAGAAAGTCGAAGTTAGACATGAAAGAAACCAGTGTTAAACGTACCCTTAAAGAAAGTAAAGCAATGTTGTTCTTTCTTATTACGCTGTACTACATTTTGTTCACAGATGAAATGATCATTTTTTTTATTCCATTTGTAATGTATTTTAATTTATTACCAATAAATGTCTCCAGGGAAAAGCAGTTTTTCTAGAGAGTACATTCTAAAGTTTGTCTCCAGCTATATTCTGGGAAATTGTATTAAAAGTGAACATATGTTCTTTTGGCATATTTTAAAATCTCGAGGTAGAGAGAGAGAGAGAGAGAGAGAGAAAGTCACATTAGTTTACAACACTTTTCCTGATCGTGGTGCAATTTTACTACTATATCCAACTCAGAGTCCTTTTAATTATCTTTTTTTTTTTTTTAAGAAGTAGAATCTATTCTAAGCATCATGTTAGAAACTTTCTTGAGCTTAATCAGAAAACAAACAAACAAACTTTTCTAGACTTAAAACTTGATCCCCACATTGGAAATACAAGCCCGTTAAGCACAACAAACACAGAAACAAAAACTTATGAAAAATAGCATGATATACCGCAATCTGCACACCAGGGAAGAGGTTACTTGGAAAGTCTCTAAAACAGCGAGCTAATGGCCAGGCTTTAAAGTAACAGAGAAGACAAGAGTGTATGGGATTACCTGAGTTGGTGATTTTTTTTCTTGTAGGTTTGGTCGAACGCTTCTGAAACCTTTTGCTGCAAGAGATGAATATGTAGCATCTCCGTTCAGTGTCTCTTGAGTTCGATCATTGTAAGACCTCCAAGCTTGTGTTAAGGGAAAACAAATTGGATACAAAAATATCTACATTCACGTCAACATTTTTCAATAAAATTTGTTTTTATTTCTAAACTGAAATGTTATAATTAGAAATTAAATTCAACGGTATGTATGAGAGTAGATAATATTTAAATTTAGCATGAGGTTAACAACATGACTATGAATATGTTCAAAAAGACTCAGAGCAAATGTAATAGTTATTCAGAATGGTTTTCTATACCTGAGTCTGGTGACTGAGAATCACGCCCTGAAAGAAAAAAAAAAAAAATGATGTTGACATTAATACTAGGGTGAAATAATGAAAAAAAAAAAAAAGAAAAAAAGAAAGAAAGAATTTGGTGAAGAACTACAGGTACAATTTTTGCAGTCCTTATCTCAGTTCTAAAACTCTGGGAACATCAGATACTCTAAGGGGAAGTTTGTTCATTATTTTCACTTCTATTACAACATCATGCATTAAATATCTATAGTATACAATGAATGCATATATATAAAACACTGATATTTTCCCCTCAACAATACTGCAACCATGTGATTTTAATCTTATTACTGCTTATCATGGGTATATGAATTTCTAAATATCAAATTAAATGTCCAAATGGGACCTATCTTGTTTGTAAGCAATAAATCAATTTCCTAGCACTAAATCATATTCAATGTGTTACTGGCCATATTTCACTTCGATATTAGACAGAGACCAATTTTTCATAGTTTGCATTTTTTACCTTAAGAAATGATAAATATATCTATCATATAGTGTGATATTTTCAACTTATTCTCGGAACTTTGTGGGTTTTTTTTAGAGAATTTCTTTTGCTATAGGGTGTGTGTGCTAACTGGAGAGACAGAGAGACAGAGAGGCAGAAAGTGAGAAGTCACCCTTCAGGGAGGATGCTCATGCTGCAATCCATTCTCCATTTTCCCCTTGGGAATTTGACCAAGCATGCACTTTCGCCCAGTGTGAGTCTAAGGTGCCGGGTCTGGGACTAGAACTGTGGTCGACCACTTGGGAGTGCAGCAACATAACCATTATGCCAGCTGCTGATCCCTAGAATTTGTATTTTCTTATTACAACTTAAAAGTCATTTTATGTTCAAATATGAAAGAGCTGTTTCAATACTTTCCTTTGTCTTTCAGTGAATAAGTTGTGAAAATTTAATTTTAGTATTAAGAAGACATTTTAGATAGTATAGTTGAAAGCAGCTCAATAATACATTTACTATCAATTTATTGGAATTATATATTTGAGAATTTATGTATTTGAGGTAATCAGTTAAACATATTTGAAATAATCAATTCATACTTGATTCTCTTATATCAGCTGATTAACTTCACTTGGATTCATAAGGCCTGCCTTTGGAAAGGACCCTAGGGCTCATTTAACCTAGCCTTCTGTCCAGTTCCTGGATTCCTCTTACATGTTCCCTGAGACTATAATTATTATTTATTACTTTTTTTAGAGAGAGATTTTTGCTATAGGGCACATGCACTTGCCAGAGAGAGACAGAGAGACAGAAAGTGAGAATTTACCCCCTAGGGGGACAACCATATCACAATCCCTTATTCTCCATTCTCCTCTTGGGATTTTGGACATTCATGTACATGTGCCCAGCATGTTTTAAGCTGCTGGGTCTGGGACTTGAACCGTGGTTGACTATGTGGGAGTTCAGTGACGTAACCATTACTCCATCTGCTGGTCCCTCCTGGGACTATTATTAAATTACTGTTATTTCAATACCTAATTGAACATGAATCTTCCATGTCAAAAAGACTCTTTCTTCTAATTTTTGAGAAATAGTTATTTTGAAATCTAAATATATACATTTGAAAAGATAAAAATGGGTTGAGAAATGCAAGTGTTTGATTTTTAGATTACATTTTCAATATGTATTCTTATTTGTTTGTTTGTTTTGGGGAGTTTTTTTTTTTTTTTTTTTTTTTTTGCTAGTGGGCACATGCACTTGTCAGAAAGACAGAGAGAGACAGAGAGGTAGAAAGCGAGAAATCACTCCCCAGGGGGGATAGCCACGCCGCAATCCCTTCTCCTCCATTCTCTTCTCAGGATCTTGGGCATGCACACACAGGTGCCCGACGTGAGTTTAAGCCACTAGATCCGGGACTTGAACCGTGGTCAACTACATGGGGGTCCAATGACATAGTCACTACGCCAACTGCTGGTCCCGATAATGTGTTCTTTCCAAAGGAAAGTAAGAAAAATCGATGTGAACCAGCAGAAGGACTCCAGCCAGGTAAATCAGAGAAGGCAAAGTTCTCATCCTTGATGAGAAATGATCACTCAGGATGATAATGGATAATCTAGCATGGATGTTATCACCGAGGAGTGAGACTGAAGTTAGAACATGGAGACCTTACCCTTCAAATAACTTAAAGAATTATATGTGAGATGTTTACTGGGCCCTACTTCCAGAATTTGATGTAAGAAGAAATGACTGAAGTTTTTATCAGTTAAATGATGATGAAAACTCTGTAAAGAAAACAAACACAGTATAACAATACAGAGCCATCATTAGAATTCTGTTTTATGGCATTCAAGGAGCTAAATTAGTAACTATGGAGATGCTGTATACTGTTTGCGGACAACAAATCCTGGGGAAAGGACACTGGAAACAGCATTAATAATAGTGATAGTATATTGTAATGCATACTATAATAATGGTTGTATATTGTAATTATTTGCTTGAGAAAGTAATTATTTACTTTTAGTTTGATAAAAATCAAGATAAAAAGGAAAGGATTGTGGTATATGCTGGGGATGGACGTAACAGGAGCCAGATACTTGGGTGTGCGAGGTGGTGGATAAATGAGAAAGAAGAGGGTATTTGAAGAGGAATGAGGGACACTTGAAAAAAACACCCTCTAATGACAATTTTAGAGGAGGGCTAGCTCTGTTTCTTTGCAGTGGTGACCACAGTGAAGATTACAGAACCCCCAGAAACATTAAGAGAGATCAGAGGACTGTCTATGTAGGCTCAATTACCCTCCACCCGGATCCTGGGCCCAGGGATGACCAAGTAAGATATTTATAACAGTGCACTCTACTGCAAAGTGTTAGTGGACACGAATGTGTAGAATTAAGGGAAGGAGAAAAAGGGCCATGGATTAAAAGGCTAGGATGAACCCATATTTTAATGAAGTGTAGGTTGATGATTAAAGTCTACTTGGTCATTTAAGGATACTGAAGTGTACCTTTCAGTTTCTTTAAAATAAATCTAACTCTAGATATTTAAAACATCCAGTTTTGATTTTCTATTTTAATATGCTCTTCAGAGGCACTGGAAGAAAAATACCTTCCCACATGAATACTGTTTACCAAGCTCTTTTATTTTATTCTTGCCAAAAAAACTTAAGGGAGAACAAGGGTGGTTTGGAGCAGGTTGAACAGAAAGCATTCTAGATCCATGTAAAGAACATATAGGTTAAAAAGACAAAAAGTTGAGCAGATAAATGCTTGGCAGATGCATGGGGAAAATGGTTTTATTCACTATCTCGAAAATGACTTATGATCATTCACATGTGAAAAAACAAATCCAGAGCCCTAGGGATCAAAGTCCTTCATTTCCAGTGTTCTTCAGTTGATAGCCAGTGCTTCTCTGAAAGCTAAGCATGAAAAATGGGACAGGCTCAGTGTTGTCCTGGCCTTCGACATAAGTAAATTCATTGAGAATTAAGAACCTGAATCCAGGGGCTGGCAGGTGGCGTGGTGGTGGGGGGCACTAGACTCTCACATGGCCGACCGCGGTTCGAGTCCTGGACCTGGTGATTTGCTTTCTCACTTTCCCTCTCTCTCTCTCTCTCACTCTGGTCAAATAAAAATGAACAAATAAATAAAGTTAAATAAAAATAATTCTAAAAAAAGAAAAAAGAATCTGTGTCCAGACACTGGTTGGTGGTTATCTGTCAGAGATATCTAAAACACTACTGGTTTGGTGTCAGGGGTTACACTGAATGCCCTTAATGGTCTCTCACAGTAAATGTCACAACGTGGCTGTGTTTGCGACGCCTCTCACATCAGTCTCTGCTGTCAATTTTTACATAATTCTTTTTAGCTAATGAGCTATGTTGACCCTATCACCTATATTTTTCTTGAGGTATGATGATTTGTTATTTGTGTAACTCATTTCGTTAGAGGACCAAATGCTTCACAAGAATTATTTTGAACTTGTTCATTAAACTTGAGTCAGCTAATTGGGTACCTCCTGTGTTTCTAGGTACTGTAATAAGGCTTTTCATTTGTTTCCTTTATTGAATGTCATTTAATTTTGATGAATCCTTGTGAGTTTGGGAAATGATTCAGTTCTCAGAGGGAAAGGAGAATGATAAACAAATTCCATTTTTTTTTTTTAAGAAGGGAAACTTGAAGTACAAACAGGCAAGTTTCTTAGAGACAAAAAACATACAGGCGGCATTGGCAAGACCCTGTCTTGTGGCACAGTGACTGACGTATGGCTTACCACTCTTACCAGTGTTCCCTCGGACTATGGCGTGTTCTGGTGAAATACGACATAACTTTGCTTCTCTATGGTTATTGCTTGGGCTCTAGCCTAGGTTTAAAACATCAGTGTATGCTATGATGTATTATCCACTAGGACTTATTTTCTTATAAAAGAAAAAACAGGGGCAAGCAGGTGGCATAGTGGTTGGAGTGCTGGACTTCTACATGACTAACTGTGGTTTGAGTCTTGAACTGATGACTTGAAACTCGCACCAGGCCCATGCACATGTGGGCCCCAAATCCTCACTTTCCCTGTCTCTGTTTCTCTCTTTCCAGAGAGTACATGTGCCTTATGACAAAAAAACCAACCAACCAACCAAGCAACAAAAACAAAAGAAAACAACACACACACACACACACACACACACACACACCAAAAAAAAAAAAAAAAAGGAAGAAAGAAAAAAGGAAAACAAAAACCAAAAAGGCAAAAACAAAAGAAAGAGTGACTTAGGAGACAATTAACTGATGATGACTCATCCTGACATTCTGATCTTAGAAAGAAGTGCAGGAAGTTTAGGGTCTTTGTGGAGGTAGTCTAACCTTTACATAAAGGGTGTTGTGTTCAACAATATTGAATGCAATAAATACTTAGGAATTCCCTCTTTATTCACATAAAGATGCTGTCAAGTAAATTCTCCTGAAAGCTACTACAGAATGTGACTGGGCTTACAAGATGCTGGTTTCTTTCTTCAAAATGTAGTTAAAACTTCTTTGAAAAAGGAACCATACCTTATGTGTCTAAATGATATAAAAGAAGCCTTTTTAAAAATAACAAATTCAAAATATAGGGACTTCATTCTCCAGAAATCTCTTTCTAGAAAGTAATAGTTACTCTTTGCAGTATAACATTGAAATCGGCCCAGAGCCACTACATACACATATTACTAAAGATTACCTGATGTTCCTGACCTATTAAGTAAGTCCTTTTTTACTATTTTGATTTAGAAGCATTAAACTTGTCCATGAAGTTGAATGATATGAACTTGTTGATGATATGAACTTGTTTTGAGCCTTCAAAATGGTAATCTCTAATTCAATATATACCTATTCCTTTAGAGGTTACTTTTACAAATAATAACGATTGGGCATTGTTGATGCAGCATCTCATTCTTCAGTGTAAATTAAAGATCCACATTGGAGTAGCTTGGGGAGAGATTTTATGTGATCGAAATGTCAATGATATTCATGGTATAGGCCATTTCAATGACATAAAGGCCCTGACTTTATTTTATTTTCTTACTTCCTTTCATTCCCATTTCCCTGATGTAGCCAATGTAAATATGTCTGTAGTTTTTCTAACACCTTTTCATGTTTAAACTCCTATGAGCAAATATGCACAATTGCATAATCTATAAATCTTATTATATATTATATTAATATACATATTTAAACAAGATTGTACTACATACATTACAACACAACTTGCATTTTGTTTTAACTTAATATTTCCTAGAATCCCTGCCATGGTATTTAACTTGGACATTGAAATACATCTGTGGCTTGGAGGTTGTGGGTGGGAGTGGGATTCAACATAAGGAAGTCAGTTTTTTCATCAGCAAATCTGGGTAGTTTAGGATCAAGTGGATTTAAAGCCCAGAATACCTGCATCTTTCATCAACTGCTCAATGTATGTGGGTAAAAGACTGTAACATGGATGGTGAGAATTGAAATTGTTTATAAAGATTCTCCGTCTCTTTTCTACTTCTACTGTAAAACCTATTGATCTTAAAAATAAAAACCAAGGAGCATCCCAAAGTATAAGTAACCTAACAACCACCCACCCACTCACCCAACCAACCAGCCAACCAGTCGCCAAAAGGTGTCGGTGTATTTCAGGATCTAGGGACACTGGACTTGCTGGGCTTACTTTGATCTTCCACAGCTGTGTCTTCCACCCATATCAGCTGTGCTACTGGCAAAGGCAAGTCATGGCAGACATGACTTATGGAGACTCACCTTAGTAGATGCTGAAATGTCATACCTAGCTACTTTTCAGAATATAGTCTCATATGTGGGTATGTGTTAATCAAAATTGGTCAAAATTTTGGTATGTTTAAATACATCCATTAGAAAAGTCTTTGCTGATAGGATTAAAGGAAGATGAAGGTCTCTTTCAAAACCAATATTCTATCATTTGGTTGTAGTTTTTGATGGAGAAGTCAATGAATGGACATTCAGTTTCTAGAAAATCCTTCTTTCTGACTCCCCTGAACAGTCTGTTAGTTGTCTTGATAAAATACTGTTACTTTAGTTCATGAGATAGCAAAAACTCAAATAGCTATCAACACTTGCAGTTATTCAGCATATTTTTGGCAAATGACTGTTGTTTTTAATTAGATTTTAAAAATGTTTTCTACAAGATATCAGTTGCCTTTGCTTTTTATTTTTAGAACAAAAACAGTCAGAAGGGATCAGAGCTATTCTTGGGGCAAGAAAAATAACTCGCAGGGCATTCGAAAGGTATTTACAGCCACTTTATTTATCCCAACAAGATAATTCTGGAAAGAGAAAGGTCAGGTAATGCCATTCAAGTGTGACATTCTGTGAGTTAGTGATATTATACCTGCAGTCAATAGGTTTGGAGAACTTTGAACTCTCTTCACAGATGTTAAGGTAACAGACATGGCGGCACGTTTGCGAGCACACCCACCGCTATCTGGAAGCAAAAAAATGATATAGCAGAGGCCAAAGCAACAGAGAAAGCACATGCAATATCATGCGTTTTAAGTGAAATGTGCCAAACACCCATGAGAAGGAGAAACAGTCGAATTAGTCACCATGAAATATATTTGTGAATTTCATACCCTTCCCCAAACTAAAACAAGCCAAACCAAACCAAAACGGGAGCTCGATGTCGAAAATAGATGTTAATACTTTAGTAGACTAATGCAAGATTCGATATTTAATGCTACAGTTCTTCTTTAAAGAAAACCCAGTGATTTAGTTCAACTTTGTTTACACTGTTTAAATTCAAATTATGCTCAATCTGTAAGCAGTGTGGCTAGCTTTTAGAATTATAGATGATCTATATTACAGGATCAAGTGCTAAGAGATACTTTGTATCTATTATTTACACTGTGTCATATTCCAGGTATATGATTTCTGAAGATAGCTTGACTAATTCTTGAAGCCAGAGTTATTAACTGACATAGACATGATTTATTCGATATATAGAATTTATAAAGAAATATGGAATATGAAAATTCTGTCTTCTCATAGTTATTATTAGTTATGGAAATAATTAGCCTAATTAAAATAAAACACAGTATTGATAGTATTGAAACGATCATGTTTTAAAAAACTAATTTACAGTGTTTTACTTCTGAACAATAAATGCAACATCATGTATACATTTATACTTATGCAAATCACAATGTGGAATAAAATAAATGCAAATGCATCAGCTATTTTAACATGGGATAAGTTTAGACTTAGAAATTTGAGAGAAAATTCTAAAATTAGAAGGATAATGTCCTACCTGTAAATAGATTCCAATCATGTTCCCACATTCCTTTGCAATATGGCACGTGTAATAGTTTTTTTTTTTAATTCCCCAATATAAATAAAGTATTTTTTTAATGTTAAGACAAAACGGACAGTATAACCACTACTATGATACATAACCACTATGATAAATCATTTTATATTGTCACATGCTAGTCTCATTTTTTTTCTATTTATTTATTTTATAGGGAAAGTATCCAGTGTATTTATTAGACATGACAGGATTAGATTAGCCAAGACATTGGATTTGAATTAATTATGGTGAAAAATCACAAATAACATCAACAGACCTCCGAACTGGTGAAATGATTCTCATATCAAAATGTAATTTCTAACATATATGTTTAAAATAACTTCCTAATATAGAAAAATAATTAAATCAGAAAACTAACTTGAAACAGTAAAAGAAAATAAGTTAAATGAATCAAAGACAACACATACTTAAGAACCAAAAGGAAACACAACATATAAGGGACACGACAATGGAAAATTGTCTGTTGATGATAAAATGTATGGTGATATCATTGACCGAACCAATATTCAGTGTATCCATGATGGGAAAATTCATTTGGTATGCTGTAATGAGACACAGTGATTCATGGGGATTTAAGAAAAAAAAAAAAGCTAAAAGGGACAGACACAAATGGCGGGAACTCACAACTGATATGTTTGAGACACCAAAAGGATTTTAGCGAACTTGGTGAACTGAAAATAGCCATGAGAGACAGCGTGTCTCATAACATGGAGGGAATGCTATTGAACATAAGGTATCTAGCAGACACCTGTGAGCTGGTTCGTTTGTGTATTCAAGGTGGTAGAAGGTGAAAACTGATTGATTTTGCTGTGTGATTTGTTTTAATTTTGAACATCTGAAAACAAGCATAGAGATGAAAAGAGAAAATTCGAGGGTGGAAGAATCCAGGTCACTGGTTAAACTCATGGTGCGTTCAAAGGGAGGGCTGAGATGGACCACCTCAGTGACCTCCCGGGTGTTAGCGGACATTACAGATGTCCAAGGAGTGCCCATGGTATCTGTTGGATGCTGCTGAACTACTTGATTAAGGTAATTCACAGTTTCAGCAAAACAGATTGTGTTATATATTTTTAAATGGCATCACATCTTTGGAGAACAGAATTTTTGGTAGCTGCTGTAATAAAATACAAATATCCTGCAGAAATCGTTTTTGGACCAGTAAATAGACTTGTCATATGCAATCGAATTCCAAAGTCTGAGAAGTTTTTTGGTGTGCAACAGGCATATACATACCATTAGTAAATAATTATGATTATAAAGTAATTATGGCCATTAGGTAATTACTAAGTTAATTTAACTACATCCAACTACTTAAAAAATAGAAGTGTTTGGTATTTCATCTGGCCTAGAAGAACCATGAAAACATTACTGAGACATTAAACATCACTGTAAACTAAGAAAGTTGAGAGTTGTTTTGTTAAACAACTGATGTATTTTAGGTAGACTTAAGAAATAAATCAATTAAGTAGAGAATTTGGCTTTATTAACAGTTCAATAAAAAGCTTCATTCAAAAAGTTGAGGCATTTGTAAAACTGCTCAAACAGGTCCTCTATCATATTGTTTCTACTTGCTTATGTATTGATACTTTCTGATGTTCTTTGAGGATATTTTTAAGATCTCAAAATGAGGAGGCTGTTTTTCATAGTCCAGTCATCCTAAAGAATCCAAACACTGGTCTCGCCTTCCTAATCATTAATGACCTGCAGCCTCACTGAGTTTTCTTTCACTAAACCGTAAGACTCTTTAAAGTTGTTTTCACTACTAGAAAACACTCACATGGGAAAACCACATACAATAGGTTAGATGATGTCTTTCTCTCCCTCTTTTCTTCAATAGCTAAGACATGCTTGAGAATATACTGGGTCTTGGGGCTGGCAGGTGGTGTGTTGGTTAAAGATGCTGGATTCCCACATGGCCTACTGTGGTTTGAGTCCTGGACCTGGTGGCTTGTTTTCTCGCTTTCCCTTTCTTTCTCACTCTTTCTCTCACTCTGTCTCTGTCTGGTCAAGATAAAAATAATAATAATAACAAATGGAATTAAATAAATAATTTTAAAAAGAAAAGAATGGGTCTCAGTTTTTTTTTTTTTTAAAGGAAAAGTTTAATTGTCCTAAGTTCATGCAGAGAGCGAAGGAGACCTGAGAGAGATTAAGGGCACCCCTCCCCACCATGGGGCATGGAAATGCTACAATCTCTTCTCCTTATCTCCATCCTGTTGGGAATCTGGGCGCACACGCACAAGTACCTGGCATATTCTTCAAGCCACTGGAGCTGGGATTCAAACCATGGCTGGCCATGCGAAATCTGGCTTCCTTAACTACTGAACTACAAGGCCAGCCCAAGCTTATCTCTTTTACATAAGGATGCTTTAGAGAGTTATATTCATGCCACTAAGCAGTGACTTGGCACTAGTACCCCAGAGACTTAAACGCATTTACAAGTGTCTGTGTTCCTACTTTGTTATCAAGGATTAAATGATAGGAATAAAAAAGATCAATGATTGAAGTCACTGTACATAAATATAGCATATTTTATGCAATCACATATGTATGCCTCTGTCATAAAAGGCTTATAAGTAGGAAAATTGGTCTGTAGCAAAATGAGGGAAATTGGGAAATTATGCTGAATTTGTCTTCAAAGAGATGCCTTAGAACCATCTATAGTATTACAGCTTTTTCACATGGACATTCTGCTAGAGGGACTGCAGTTAGACCACCTGGCTTATCCGTATCAGCTGGGTACGCTGGATCCTACCTGCTTTCTTCAATCTCTTCTGCCTAATAATGTTTCTTATTTAAGTTCCCCTGTCTGATTGGGGCATCTCCAAGGTAAAAATGCCTTTCCTTGATTCAGATCTGGGGGGGTTATGACTTCTCTTGATTTCTAAGCCTTCCTTGTATATTTTGACCCTCTCCAATATCCTTATCTTGTATCTTGTCTGCCATGCTACAAACCTGGAAATGAACTTCGTGCTCAGGAACCAGCCAGCAGCATTCTGTGAGGCCAACCAGAGCAGGTATCTGCTAAGAGACGGTCACAGGATGATGGCATATGCTCCTGTCTTTGATCTAGGGACTAGCTAATGGTTCTCACCAGTGGTCAGTGGTCATTAACCCTCCCACTTAGGCACTTTGATAACAAGAGCCTGCAAAACAGGCAACCAGTGAGATAAGAGCTTGGGCCTTCCTTTCTCCTCTGCCCTGAGGTGATTGGCTAAACCGACTTTCCAGGGATCGCTTGTAGATGGGAGACAGTACCCTTAAAGCACAAGTTACAAAACTTCAGTGAGAAAGTTTGTTCTTTTTTCCTGAATTATGAGATACTACACATTAGATGGTGGAAAAGATAAAATTATGGGGGGAACTTAAAAAAGTTCATGGAAAATAAGTTAAAGTATGAGTTTAGGTTGATGCAAAAAAAAAAAAAGGGAAATCCATGTATAATTTTTTTTATAATATGTATGACCATGTACTTTTCGACGACCTTTCTATAAAACCAAATGCTCATACTCAGAAAAATATTCATATGTACTTAGTATGTATCATAAGCTGTTTTATAATGAAAAACGTACACAGTATAGACTTCAGAGGCATCAATGTTGCTGAGCCATTTGGAGATACTGTTCCCACATCTAAAAACAGAATTCTTATGCCTTTATGTGTAGCGTGACTATGGATTAAATGAACTGATCTTTTATGAACTTTTTATATTTCATCTGCAGACTTTGTCAACAGAAAGAGCTTATGGACTGAGGAAGTTTAAATATTTCCCATTGGGCAACTTGCCTTTGAATTTAGCCTAGTTTAAGTGGGGGGATTTCTACTACATACAAATGACATCGTAGCTTTTCCTAGTGTTTATAAGAGTGAATCTAAAATCTAATGAGGAAAAAAGAGAGTAAATCACAAAACAGAAAATTCTACTTTTATGGCTCTAAGACTAGAACACAGAGACAAAGGAATGAAGAAATGAATCTAGACTATATGTATATAATTAGAAACTTGATATCACATTTAGGGGCAGCAGAGTGCGAAATTACTGATTTAGGGCCAAGTTGATTTTCAGAGAGCTAGGCTAAAGAGTTTAAACTAACAGTGCATACCTGTATTCATTTTGGCCTTGGAAGGTTTGCTATTAAAGTCTTCGGTTTTCCTGTAGAAAAAAAATGGTGCATGATTTGTTCACTAATATGTGGAACAAAATATCAGGATATGGTGTGTTTTGTTTTTGGTTTTGATGTAATCTTCAAGTTAATATCATTCTATCCTTAGTCTTCCATGAGGGTTTAATAAGATGGGAAGAATTTTTTAGGTCTATTTAAGTTAAACTTTAATTATTATTAAACTTCAATTATTATTATTAAACTTCAATGATAATTTTCCTATGATTATTAACTTTTATTTTTATTTAATAGTAACCATTAATGGATGAAAAAGGACAAGCATTTTTATTTTTAAAAATTAAATTATTTTAGAAACATTTATACACATGATTGTTATTCCCTAAGCCCAAAAGGATCATTGATTGTTAAGCGTCCTCTTTCAGAATTTTAAAAGGAAAAAAAAAAAATTGAAATCATTACCTTACATGTGTGGTCAGTCTGTGACCATATAATATGTAATGTATTTAATATATATTAAGCACAAAGTCAAGACAGACGAGATTCATCTCAACTGCTTCTTGAGGTACAGGAAATAAATAACTACACAACCCATTTTTGTTTTAGTGTCAGATCTGCTGTTTCCCAATGAAGAGTATAACCATTGGATAGCGCTTGATATTAATTCATTACAAATGGTTGGCAAAATGGTGCTTATCTTAGAAACAAAGTTTGTAATCGCATGTATTATTTTATGATATATGAGATGACTGAGTTCTCTCCCTAGCATATTCTCTTGGCCTACTTTTAAAGTTCCTTATGCATCCATACCCCAAGACTGAAAGAGGAACTTATAAGCGCATGCTTATAAGGAAGCAACCCGTCTAAGAATAAGAGCCCTCTGAAAGAAATGTTCAAGACCAGCCACTTTGCCTTGGCTCTGGAGTTAGATACCCCCATGGACTTTCCTAACACTGTAAACATATTCACAGTGTCAATGCATATTAGTATACTGATATCTTATAGTTTAAAAAAAATTTATACCTTGTGGATAAGGATAGGGTCGAAATGCAATTATCAGTTAATCTAACTCTATCAGGAAATATTTTTGATGATTTTTTTTCAAACTCTATATAGAGAGCACCAAATAAAAACTAGGCTGTCTTGTCTTTGTCTTTGGGAAGGTTCTCACATTCTCTTTCTTCCTATTTCTCCGGCTCTGTGTTCTGCTCAAGTCATCATCCATTATTTTCTTTCAATATGGGTACTAAAGTTCATTCCTTCTAGAAAGCCTAGCTTTATGATTTTTTTAAGAGAGATTTTACTGATAAAGCGCTTGCACACGCCAGAGAGACAAAGAGAGACAGAAAGACAGGAAGCAAGAAATCACTCCCCGGGGAGGATGTCCCCGCCACAATCCCTTCTCCTCCATTTTTCTTTTGGCATCTTGGGCACTCATGCACACATGCCCAGCACGAGTTTCAAGCCAGTGAGTCTGGAACTAGAACCACGGTTGACTACGTGGGAGTCCAGCAATGAGACTATTACACCATCTGCTGGTCCCCCTAGTTTTTATATTATTGTAAAATTCTAATAATCAAATCAAAGTGTGAAAAGAAGCTAAGTATGATACCTATCTTCTCTCCCAATGGAGGTAAACGATGACATAAAATAACATAAAAATACACTTAACGGATATGAAAAAGAATTGTGGATTAACAGAAAAGGCATTTTATCTTTTCTGGCCTAGACTGAATCACTCATATCTCGAGACTCAAAAAAAGCTTAGTCAATGAACATATAGAATAGGTACAATCACAGTACCGATATTCACCCCTGTTTGTTTTTCTAGAGCTACGAACTGAAACAGTTACTAATGACGAGATTCTCAGTAAGCAGTTTCCTACACTGGTGTCACCCGGTCGTGGTCAGTGTGATATTCTTGTTCCTCTCTCCTGGAACGATACTACAGTGAAGGGGAGGCAGGACAGGAGTAACGCCAAGCGCTGTCATGCCTGTGCTGAGAGAGTTACCATCATGTTATGGTGATTTTCACAATAACAAAGCACAGGCCGATGGACTATAAGAAGTAGTTGAGGTCTGGTGGTTAAGGTGCTGGCCTCACCCATGACTGACTACGGTTTGAGTCCCATACCCAGTGACTTGAAAATCATGCCAGTCCCGTGTGCATGCATGCCCAAAATCTCAATAGGAGAATGGAGGAGAAGGGATTGTGGTGTGGCCATCCCTCCTGGGGGGTGATTTCTCACTTTCTCTTTCTCTGTCTCTCTCTTCTCTGGTGAGCACACATATCGAATGGCAAAAACCTAAAAAATACAACAAAACAACAAAAAAAGGAGTGATTGAAGCTCAGGAAAAAAAACATTTAATAGACACAGGAATGCAGACAGTTGGGTTGAATAGGCTATGGAATGCATACCACGATGCAGTAAAAAGAACAAACATTGCAAATCATATATGTATCAAAAAGAAAAAGAAAAAGAAAAACGAGTAGGGCAAAACTGATGATACGTATTGTAATGTGATGATCTTTGTTGAAAATGATAAATATGGTACCATCCTTTTTGATTAATGCACAGTGCTTGCATGATTTCTTTTAGAGAAATTTTCACTACAGGGTACATGCACTCACCAGAGAGACAGAGAAAGAGAAAGTGAGAAATCACTCCCCTGGGAACATGAATATGCTGCAATCCCTTCTCCTTCATTCTCCCCACAGGATTTTGGACACACACACACACACACACACACACACACACACACACACGTCTGACCTGAGTTTCAAGCCTCTGAGTCCAGGGCTTGAACTGTGTCTGGCCATGTGGGAGTCCATGTGCCTTACCCACCATGTCACCTGTTTGCTCCATATGCATGCTTTGAAAATCCATATTGCACCCCATAAAGATGTATGACAATGAAATATAAATAAAAAATTATAAAATAATATCAAATAGTAAAAAAAACCAAAAACAAATAATTGAGGGAAACTTCATCATTATGAATTATATCTCTTTTCAGTGTATACGAATAAAGAGGCATATTTTTGTTCTTTTGTTTTAGTTATTTTGTTTTTGATATAGGGTGCTTGTGCTCAATGGATCAAGGGAGAGAGAGAGTGAGTGAGAAAGAGACAGAAACTGAGAATGCACTCCCTCCCAGGTGAGATGGCCACACCATAATCCCTTCTCTTCTAGCTTCCTCTTGAGATTTAGCATGTTTCTCAAGTCACTGGGTCCAGGCACTCTTACCTGTTCTGCTGTCTGTGTGGAATTTAGCTGCCTTAACCGCCATCCCACCCACCAGTTGGCGCTGCTTTGTTTTCTTTTTTCTCCAGAATTACACAGAAAACGTGGCATATTTCTAAAAACACAACTCTATGGCCTTAATACCGCCTGAATTGAAGCCAGGGCCCAGGGCAGTGGCCAGCACAGGAGCTCTGAGAAAGTTCCTCCAGATACATTTATTTTAATCTCTCAGTAGCAAAACTCCTAATGTGTTAACCTTAAATGGACAAAGCAAATGGAAAAAGAAAGCCTCAGGGGATGTCTGTGACCAAGGCTGGGGCAACTTCTAAAACAAGAAGGGATAAACAATCCCCAGGAAAAGAGGACTGAAGGATATTTCCCAAATTCTACTTTCTCAATCCTTCCAGACAGGCAACACTGTAAGTTTAAGACTGCTTCAGGTTTTTTAGGTTTTTTTTTTTTTTTTTTTTTAAAGAGGATTTTGCTATAGGGAGCGTGCGCTTGCCACACAGACAGAGAGACAGAGAGACAGAAAGCAAGAAATCACTCCCCATGGGGGATGGCCATGCTGCAAACCCTTGTACTCCATTCTCCTCTTGGGATCTTGGGTACGCACACACACACACACACACACACACACACGCCTGGCGTGAGTTTTAAGCCACTGGGTCCGAGACTCGAACCACAATCGACTACATGGAAGTCCAGTGACATAGCCATTACGCTAACTGCTGGCCCCAAGACTGCTTCAGGTTTTAATACCAAAGGACAAAGACAGTATTTGGCTAGGATGAATATTTATCGATGAAGAAAACAAAAGAGTCAGTCTCAGAATTCAAGATGTGTGAATAAAGCTTTATATCAAGTTCGAGAACTAATCATGAACGTGTATGGTTTGAATTGAAATGTAGATATTTACAAACTCTCTGATGCCCCCAAAGTAAAAGAGGATTAAGGAGACTAGGAAAGGCGCCACAAATCCTTGAGCTTTTCATCTTTAAAGTGATTCATCCTGTTACTTACAAATGCAATTTGGGAGGTTTTTAAACCTCACATTGTTTCAGATGTCACAATGTGAAATGACTAACTTCCTAATCAGGCGAGACATTTTTCCATGTGGTGAAAAAAAGAGCCAAGGTGACTGAGTGCTCAAGAAGAATCTGAAACCAAAAGGCTTCTTGGGTGATTAATGAAAATGCATGATTCCTTTTCATTATTTGTGCTAAAGCCATGAACAAATCCACAACTTAAAACTCTCTTTAGACAATAAAAACTAAAGCAAATCTAACCTTTTTTGCTCTGTTTCGAAATGTCTTTGATTGTCCTTACACACCAGCACAGATTATTCTGGAAAGCATTGAATTCCTAGAGTGTTTTGCACACGACTGAAGAAGCCAGTGCTTCCAGTATTCTCTTAAATTGGAATTGAACCAGGGCCAAACCTGTGAAAACTGACCATAAAATACAAACAACCTTGAACCTCAGCAGAGGGTTCACAGAGCAAAGAAGTCTCCCTCCATGATGGTGTCAGAATGATTTTCAATAGTTGGTGTGGGGCTCTATTTACATAAGTTTACCTCTTGTCCAAGTTTTCTATAAAAACAACTTTGCATGTATATGTATATGTGCACAGCAATGAACGTGTTTACCTATGGGTCAGAGTAGCCTTTGTCTAAATATGCATACGACAATAAATTGTGGTGGCTGTTCGTGATTCCGCGTTACTAGTCTTTTCATTGTGTTTGAATTTTGTTTGATTATTAGGCATTCCATTTGTTTGTATAGAT